CAAGCAATCAGTTATTGAGGCTGTGCACCAGCTCATTAGCACCACTGTTAGAGCTCATATTATGGATATACCTGAAAAGACCTGCTCTGCTGTGCCTCTGAGGCTGCTAGATAGACAAGGTGCTTTATGGCCTCATTAGTTACTATAACACCAAAGAGAGTTTGTATGAAAATAACCTTTGGATAAAAAATTTAATCCATTCAAAAGGTAATTTGGTTACACCAGGGTGAGCAAGTCAACTCTTACTTTCTAGGAAAATTATATTTGAAAACTTAATTTTCAGATGAATAACAGCCCAAGATGGAAAATGCGGAGACTTAGTTCTGGGATTTAATTTGTTCCCTTGCGACATTTCAGTAAACTAATGGAGATATTGAGGAATAATATGATTTCACATTCTGCTTTTATTCCCTGTTAGAACTTAACTTAATAATTACTTATTGAAAAGCAGTACCTTACAGATATAATAAGAATTTGAGAAAAATTAAACGTTTTTGCATTACAAAATAAATTAATTGTATCTTAGAGCGAAAGTGACGTCAGATGTTGGAGTTTGCCCTGCAACCGAAGGGTTGTCGGTTCAAATCTCTGCTTTTAGTATTGTTGTGTCCTTGGGCAATACACTTCACCCGCATTGCTTAACATTGATCAGAGGGCCGGTGGCGCCAGTGGGAAGCTATATGGTCCGGTCCTGACTGGAAAAAAGTGCTATTTAATTACAGGCTATTTACCATTTATTGAGATTTTATGTGAAAAGACCAACAGAAAGGGTTTTCTACAATTAAAACTGAATTAAAAAACTGGTTCCAAACATTTGTTATTAGCACTAAATTGGATTTCATTTAGAGGCTTTTGAGTAAAGAGAGTTAAATACAAACATAGAAGTTTTATGATTTTTATTTGTTAATCAAAATAATCACAAACCTTGTTCTTGTACTGGAAAGTTGCATTATACGCTGCTTTTTATTTATGAAAATAACATAACATTTCAGCACACCTATATCACCCAGACTAAGCAAAACTCAAAATGTCTTAAAAAAAAACTTGAATCCAAAGTAAAGTAAAGTCTGCTCTCTGTGTATTGTGCAGTGGACACACTGGACAAAAAAGAAGATTACCCACCCTAGCTGCCTGCAGAAAAGCTAAGGATTCTTCATAAAGAGACCTCTAATTACCTCTAATTATTTTAGTTAAACTACCCTGTACAGGATGACAATGAAACCACAGTTTTGTGCATCTTTTCTTATCAGGTAATCAACAACTTGAGATGCTAGACTGAAAGAAGCTGCTGTGCAACTTGCTCAGCAGCTAGGTATTAGAGGTCGAGCCCCATTTGACTTTTAAATCTCTGATAATCAGGTGGTACACCAACTTATTCGTTTTGATTAAAGTTACCCTCTTTATTAGTAATTGCCCCCTGGACTTGTTTATGTTATTTAATGACCTACTGTACCAACCTATAATTGTGCACAATGTTTTTATTGACATTGCCATTACGGGGCACTTAAACAGCTACTGGTTAATGCAAATCTTTTTCTCTTTTTAATTGTAATTGAAATAGTAATATTAATATAACATACCATCCATTTAAATGGAACTGTATATTTGACTCCATTGAAAGTGTATAGATTGCTTTGTATAGCCAGCAATGCATTCATATTTTAAGATTTATGTATTTTTTAAATCCACAAGGACATTAAAAATTCCTCAGGTATTTTGAGTTTACTTTGTTTATTTCTTCTTGTATTTATTACTCAGAGTGCTCCTCACAAGCTTCAGTGATTGCTTGCAACAGTTGTTAACCTAGGGTGAATGCCCTTCGAAGGGTGGTCAAAAAGATCACAGAAGGTGCTCAATGTTTTCCACTGCAAGTTTTTTAAACACAGCTACAGCATACACACCAAGGTGTTTGATTGGCACTTTTTCCATTTCATACAGAACTTTGTGCAAGAGAGGGTCCCCACAGAGTTAAACTGCTCCAAAACTGAGGCCATGCTGATCAGAACACCTCACCAGGTTCAATCTTCAACTATGACGACTGTTTTCTTTTCTGGACAAGACATCCCCTTTTCCACCATAGTTACAAATCTTGGACTTAGAATGGATTCTCAACTTACTTTTGAAAATCACATTAAGCATCTGTTTAAAATCTGTTTCCTTCATCTTCGTAATATCTCCAAAATTTGTCCGTTTCTTTCTTTTTCTGATGCTGAGACTCTCGTTCATGCATTTGTCCCCTCCAGGTTAGACTACTGCAACTCTCTGTTTGTTGGAATCCATAAAAAACATCTTCAAAAGCTCCAATACATTCAAAACAGCGCAGCCAGGATTCTCTTGAGGGCCCGCAAATCTGCCCATATTACACCTATTCTGCATGACCTTCACTGGCTTCCCATCACCTGCAGAATTCAATACAAAATCGCGCTCATCACCCATCAGTGTTTAAACGGATCCTCACCGGATTATCTGAAGGACCTTCTCACTCCACATTCATCCACCAGATCTCTTCGATCACAAGACTGCAACTTCCTTCACCTTCCTCGCTCCAGATTAAGGTCCATGGGAGATCGGGCCTTCGCTGTCGCTGCCCCCCGTCTCTGGAACTCTCTCCCAGATCATCTGAGAGCTCCACAACCACTGATTGATTTTAAAAGAGGCTTGAAGACTTTTTTATTTAAGCAAGCCTATTCTGCCTCCACATGATTTTTATGATGTTTTTTTTTATCTTTGATTTTATTTGCACTGTGTAGATTGCACTGTTGCACTTTGAGATTTTTGTTAATGACCACATGATTTTTATGATGATGATTTTTATCTTTGATTTTATTTGCACTGTGTAGCACTTTGAGATTTTTGTTAATGAAAAGTGCGGTACAAATTGGATTTATTATTATTATTATTATTATTACACGTGGACACATTCACTCCCACAAAAGATAATAACAGCAAAATCCTGTTTCTATTAGGTGGAAATGTCCAGTTAGTCTATTTTTATCAATATATATCAAGCACCAAGAATATACGTTCCTAATTCAGAGGGATACAACTTATTGAGGGAAGAAAAAGCTTACTACCAGCCTGTATACATGTCCTTTAATGTAATAAAACATTTAAAATTACTCATAAAAGAACCCAGAAAATAAAATCTAATATATCTGACGAACAAACTGGTCATTAGCCACCACCATTGCACAAATCTCCCCTTTCATTTTCTCACTAAAGAGGCTTCTCTCTCTGAACATGCTTAGAACAGATTGTGCCCATGTGCCACCTGCAGCCTCTTCACTTGCCCAACACAGAAAGCCTGCCAAAGCATGCCTTCCCATTAAAGGACTCCATATAGCACAGACAGAATAACAGCTTCTATTTTCATGTGCAACTGTGAATCCTAAAGCCTCTAAATATTACCTCTGCAATCAAGCATGGATCTGAAATTCAAGACAACGTCTTATCATTATTTAAAGCGCTTGCTATAGATAAACACAAAGTTTTTAACCATGATTTACTACCTCAGTGCTAATATTTGATGAATGAGTGAAAGGACTTGAGCTCAAACAGTAAACAGTTTCCACTTAAGGGAACACACAAACAACCTTATGCAAGGGTTAATTGTTTAATTGTTTAAGTGTCTGTCTCCTTTCCCCTTGCTCCCTTCTAGATTCCTCTGTCCACACCTGCTCCCAGTCTGCTGATTAGCCTGGTCTTTGTTTCTGTGTCTAATATATATACACCTCCTGTTCAGTCAGTCATTTCTTTGCTCTTGTTCTTCAGTCTCTGCTTTTCGGTCCTCCTCTCAAACTTCCACCAAACCTGACAGAAATATTGTATTATTTTATTTTGACACTTTACAGCCTCCATAAATCTTAGGCGCTACATGAATGGCGCTCAATGAATCTGAAAATTACCTTACCCCTGACCCCCACTTTGGGAAACCCCACTTTAGGCTAGCTAATAATTCACATAACGACACATAGACTGAGAAAAAAAATTGTTTTCTCACTAAAGAAATTTAAAAATATATATATTTTTACCAGTTGAACAGTTAGTAGGAATCATTCTCATTTCTTTACTGGCGTGTAAAAGAATTTTAGTAATATGTGATATAAATGAAAGATGACATATCCTCCCACTTACTTGTTCTGTATGCCCTATTGTCTCCTATTGACTTTCATTGAATTTTTGTTATTTTTGACCCCTTCTATGCCTTAACCCTGACAATAATCCTACACCTAACCACTGCATACCTCACCCTAACCTTAACCTAAACTCAATTCACACTTCAGTCCCTGATCTGGCCATTAAAAAAAAAGGAAATGAAAAGCAGCTAAATGTCCTCAATTGTCCTCGGTTTGAATGTAAAACCAGAAAAATGGTCTCTACTCTGATGCCAAAACAAAAACACCAACTTAAACAAATACACTCTCCCATGATCGATGCACACACCCCTCCAGACAGTCAAAAAGACAATCAGCCAATTTGATTGGCTGCACTTGCACTACCTGCACTTTTCAACATACATTTCTATTTATGCACACACCACATTATTCACATGTGTATTAACTGGAATTGCATTAAAACAATAATGACCCTGATAATTAATGAATCATATCAACATAAAAAAAATGCTACTGTTTGCCTGGTATTTCAGTGTCCTTGAAATTCATGGGTATTTTCTGAAGACTGAGTCTAGACAGACCGGTTTTAATAAGAATTAATAACATTAGGCGAGGTTGAAAAGCTTTATAGACATTTTCTCAAATGTGTTATAATGGAGCAGTGTCTTAAACATCACTGGTGAGTCAGCTAAACTCTACTTCATCACAATACATTTGTAAATTGATAAATAAAATATAGAGGGTTATTTTACTTTATAGACAAGTTTAATTTTTAAAATGTATTACAATATAATTGTTATTATGAGTTTGAGGCCAAATATTGTAATCAATATATCTTTTTAAATATACCATAAAGATAAACGGTGGCAAATGAAGTTCACTCACCTGAAGGTAGTGACATGCTCGAGATGTTTTGAGTTCTGTGTGCATCATGGGTTTGTCTAAATTAAGTGATGACTTCCTGTAGGCCTCCTTGGCTTGGCTGACTGTTAGTGTCGACCAGGAGCTCCTCTTCATAAATTTGCCCTCAGGTGCCATAGCCATGCTTTCACAGGCTGAGCACTTGACATCATTGTTACTCTTGGAGCCCTTGAGCGACATTTGTCCAAAGTGATGGCTATGCATGGAGTCTGGGTAGCAGTGGCTGACATGTTCCCCATGGTGTCTTGACATCACACTAGGTGTGCGGTAGGTGCTGTCACTGTCCAAGTTGTCATCGGAGCTCCACCAACCTCCCGAACGGTGCTTACGGTCTTTGCTTTTGCTCCTCTTGCTCCCGTGTTTTGTGGAGTGATGACCATGGTGGTAATAAGACCCTGCTCCTCCTCCAACAATATCAGCCTTTGTGCCATTCATCTTTGATGACCCCTCCAAGGAGTGGGACTTGGTGAAGAGCTTCTGAACAGAATGAACAAGGTGTCTGATACGGCCGGGACTCTCGCTGCGTTGCTCAGTGGTTGTAGAGGTGCGCTGGTACTGTAGCGTGTGGAACCCATCGCGGTGGAGGGGCATCTGCTTCTCAAACTGGTCTAACAGATTAGCTGGAAGGCGATTGCTTTTGGTGCCGGCATGGTGGGAGGAGGCAGCAGCTGCTGCCGCTGCAGCAGCAACAGCAGGTGAGGTGGCAGAGGCTGTAATGGCAGCACAGTCTTCCCGTGTGGCAGAGTCGTAATACTGAGAGCTGTAGTGCATTCTGGGGAAGGTACTGCTGGAGATGTGGTCAGATGCAGCTGTTGGGGGCATCATGACAGGGGACATCATCATGCAGTCGGAGTGGATGGAGCTCCTGGGTGAGTACCGGTGGTGAAAGTCCACAGGGCAGCTCTCTGTGGGACTGAGCAGGTATGATGGGTGGCGGGAGTCAGAGCCATGGTGGCCATGGAAGTCATGAACGTGGGGATCGTAGTCCAAACCATGAGATAAAGGAATATGATGTTGGGAACGACTGCCTGATAAGCCCTTCATGTTCCTGGCAGAGGCGACACGTCTTCCTTCATTTACCTTTCGAGGTGGGGACCAAGATGTAAACTTCTGGTCTGTTGAAGATAAAAGGAAAGGAGAAAAATCCATGAAAATCATGAAATCAGAAAAGGAATTGCAATAATTAAAATAATTCTTTCAAATTCAAAACTTTATCTTTAGTGTTAATTGTTAATGTTAAAATACAACATTTTTTAACTCCTCCAAGGTGAGTTAGTATGTGTGTTTGTCTGTCTGTCTGTGTACAAGATAACTTGAAAAGTTATAAACAGATTGTAATGACATTTTTACCAAAAGTGTACCTCAGTGCAATGAACAATCTATTACATTTTGGTGATGATCCACATAATAATCTGGATGCAGGATCTTTTAACATTATTTGGCGGAACAAGCAGTTCGCCCCTAAACCAGAAGGCGGTAGCAGTGACTATTGAGAGCTTCAGCAGCGGAATAAGACAAGAACAGAATAAAGTGAGGCATGCTTTGCTTGAATTATTGATCTGCTGATCAAAAAAGAAAGCAGAGGGAATGGATAAGGTAAGAGCAAAACATTTGAAAATGATCCAGATCATGTGCAAGTTTTACAATAGTCACAATATGGGGCAAATTCTGCTGCTTAGTGGAGGTCTGCGCTCTGCAAGTTCTTTTCTAATTTATTACTATAATTCTTTATACACATCTGACAGTGATCCATGCATGTAAATAAGGGTTATTGTCTTTCCTGGTATGTAGGTTCCTTGACCTAATTAATCTCTATTTCAGCGGCTTAAAACTTTCCTTTTTGATAAAGCTTATAGTTAGAGTGGCTCAGGTTATCCTGAGCTTTCTCTATAATTATGCTGCTATAGGTTTAGGCTTCTGGAGGACAAAGGGTGCTGTGACGGTGCTGCAGGACAAGCAGCAGTCTTGCAAGCAAAGCGTTAAATCCCTGCTGTGTCTGTCTTGTAATTCTTTCCGTTGGCCATCATCCGACTGATGGTGGTTGGAGAGCCACAACAAGGTACTAAAATGCCTCTGTACATCTGCCTCGTTTTTGTTAGCGAGATCCAAGACAGCTGTGGCTATACTATCTTGCAATCATTAGTAATTTAATATGTGCATGATTGGATGGATAACTGAGTATCTAAAGGGCTATTTGAACTATATAAAGCTTTATACAAATGAAGGCCATTACAGTCAGTATTAAGACTATGTAAAGCTCAATCAACTACTTCTAAATGCAGTTAAAACATTGAAAGCAAATTTTGAAAATAAGGTTTTGATATTATAAAAATGTTACTGTCACCTAAGTTTAATGTCTAGAGGTATTGTAGGTTTATTTATTTTAATATGATGTTTCAATTCATTTTTTCTATAAGTATTATTGTTTTAAACACTGAACACCACCATATAGATCTTTGTCTTTTCACCTCTGAACCGAGACACATTATATCAATACATATGTCTGTATTATAAATATACATTATGCAGAAATGAACTATTCTTGACATACAATACAAAGACCAGATGCGGTTTATTATATCTTAAGTACAGTAACAACCATATATATTATTTTAGAATAGGGAATGGGAGTAAAATAGTTATCTTCTTTTTTGTTTAGCCAAATTGACTTCCGATTATGTATAGATGCAAAAGTATTGCATAAAAGTTTCATGTTTATACATATGCTGCAGAATAGATCTCTGTTTAATATTTGTTGGTTTCTTTTGCCAGCATGGGGTACACAGTATGCAGATTAGTTTGTGACACAATGCTTTATATATGTATATATTGTGATTGTATGGCTTAAAATAAATAAACCAGATCAAATTAAATCTACTAATAAGATATGGGGCTTTTCTAACTGACAGAGCAAATCAGAAGAATGTATCTAACACTTCTTTTAACAGTAGAACTTGTGCCTACAGCTTCCTGCAAAGAAATTATAGTCTGATTCATAAAATGAAAGGATGTGATCAGGGCCCTTATGTACACACTGGAGCACCTGAAGTGTGTGCCATTCCTCCATAATTAATTAAGTTCGCTGCAGTGGGAAACCCCAGTCTGAAACAGGGTACTTCATCTTACATAACATTCGGGATCTCTAAATCTTGCACACTGTTTCAAAGGAGCCAAAAATAAAAAGCACAGTTGCCATGGTAACTACCGCTTCAACCTCGGAATTGTAGCTGGATTTTCAAGGCTGTGCAGAGTTTTGGTAGGTCTCAGTCGCAGAATGGGTGAGGGAAAATACAATAGAATGCAGTGTGGCACAGATTCTTTATTCTTAAAGCCACGGCTAGATCTGGGCAAAATCCACAATGTTTGAATAGATTTAGAAATATTTGAGAATGTATTATCGTGTTTCAATTCTAGTTCTTCCTACAAACTGTAACTGCAAGCAGCAGCATCAAGACCTCATGTAAAATAAATAGTTGTATTCCAACTCTTTACAGTTTTATCCAAAGTTTTGTCCCTAGAGGAAAGATTTTGAGCAGAGATGAATATCATATTTGACACCATTGTGTAATTTCATACCCAGTGCAACCGATTTTTAAGTTAATTTGTTTGTTTGACCTTAAAAAGAAAAGGTATTCAAGGAAAACCATGTTGATATAATGATAACAATGGGGTCATATTAATTGTTCTTTGGTCACTGCTTTTTAATATCATCAGCTGCCATCCAATCTCTCCCAATGTTAAAGTTTATCCTCACTATTTGGCAAATTTAAAACCTCTATGACAATCCCTTCCATTAGTTTTGAATTAAATAGCTTTTCAAATCCTGTGCTACGATTCCTCATTTTATGGTACCTAAATTTCTTTACTTCAGACTTTGCAGAGAATATATTGCTTCTGTCAATAGATTCGTGATACTTTCTTACCAAACATAGTAATTTTCTACTCAATAAGCCTCACACTGGCTACCAGTAAATAGTCAGGCCCCTGACTATTTAGATCAGCTTTTTTATCTAGACACTCAACATGTTACAAAGTTAAATACATAACTGGAAAAGCTTTCAAATGAAGCATGAAGTGGGGGGATTAAAGGGGAGTAAAGAAGGTCACACAAGTAACTGTTTCTGAACTAGTGACCTCAGTTTGACACTTTGGAAGAATGACTCGAACACTTATGGTAAAACTTTATTTGATAATGCGTTTGGAGCAGAACACAGCCACACAACTGAGGCTCTATCAGGTAATCTCATTCTTTCAAATATTCAATTGGCAAACCATTCTAAGTCCTGGAGAGATGTCATTGTGTTAATTTGTATCTAGAAAAGAACACACAGATAAAACCTTCAAACGTTTGCAGTTTGCATCTCAAATTTAGATTTTCAAACTATGTGCAGATTTTTTTCATCAGTAGGGGAGAAACAAAAGTAAAAGTCGTTCAGGAACGGGAGGAACCTAAAGATCAAAATCAAAGACGAGCGTCTTGATTTGAAAGTGAAATTATTGAGGGAAAAGGAATAGCTGCTAGGTTACTACTGTACTTGTTCATGCTAAAAGCCAATTGGTTCCAGTTTGAACTCCTGACATAATATGTTTCATGATTCTATAATAAGTTTCCTTTTTAAGTTTTCAGTTATACTTCTATTCACTTCTTTTTGTGTTTTCTAATTTATTGGTTTCATTTTTTATTTTGTGTTGTTTTCTGGTTATGGTTTTTGCTTCCGTTGCCCTTTGGATTATGAAACCTACAGGAAACCACTTTGCTTCGGTCTCTGCTTTTGGGTCCTCAAGAAATCTCCACACAACCTGAAAATATGTATTTTCTTTCAAATGCTTTATCTTTCCTGTCAACCAATGATATAATATTTGAATGTCCATGTACTTCATTCCCTTTTCAAAATCAGAATTTGAAAGGATCTAATCTTATACTCATTAACAGATAAAGCTGAGATGAAATACAGATAACTAGGAAAAAAATTATGAAATATTGCTAATTCATGAATAATTAATGTTGTAATTCAAATGTAACACCTAATTTTGATCCCCCAGGCTTCTCTGTTCATTACCTGGTTATCTGTCAGAATAGAGTACTGTACAAGAACATCAGAAATGATGTATCACTGCATGCTAATACGAATGTTACATCTGACTCTGGGATTCAAAAGCCACACGGCATCTGTTTGCACATTCAGAAAGAAATGTAATCTTTTCTTTCTGCTCTCACCACAGGATTCTGATTACAGAAATTATCTTGAGGTAGCTTGATTTCCTCATAATAAGCTGTTTAGAGAGTTTTATTTCAGCCATGATTAGGATTTTAATACCAAATAATTTGAAAAGAGCAGTCAATGCATCATATTGATTGGAGGGGTGGAGAAACTTAAAAGGGAGAAAAACTATTAGGAAAGCAATACTGTTAGTGATTCTAATTAATTAGTCAGTAATTTGATATTGGTAGAACTACAACTATTGTCAGTATCATACAACAGTTTTTAATCACTTATGCCACTTGAGTAGAAACCATCAATCATACTGCTGTCAAACCCACCTTCATTATTTATTAGCTGAATAATGATGATTGGAAATTTGATTGGTTTCACTAGAGTAGCTACCATAAACATTGGCAGAATCATCAGAGTTTATCCTGAACGTATGACAATAGCCCAACTCCAGCAAACGTCATACAAATAGTTTGCTATAAACTTATTCAGTGTCTAAAAACACTATAACTTAGTTAGGCTTTTCTCAAAACTTGGGCTGAAACCATTATTCGATTATTAAAGTAATCATTTACTGGAGTGTAGAGACTAAAATTTGCCTTTAGCAACAGAGCAACCCACGTTGAGCAGCAATTATATCTAAAAGTATTTAAAAAAAAAAAAAGTGTAATCATTTTGCAATTCAGGTAAAAATCTTTTTCCTTTGTCAATATGCTCTATCTAAAACTCCTCAATTGGAAAAGTTTTATTTTCACTTAGTATGATTTCACAAAAAGTCTTCTTTAACGAACCTTTTGGCTATCTGATCATTAATCGATTAATAAAAAAAAAAAATGCTGGTCAGATGAATCGATTTGCAAAATAATCATTTTCTAAAATCTTTTAGTTGGATGAATTTCAGT